TGCAATAACTCGTTTAATCTCTACTTGATCTCAGCCAGAAGGCAGAGAATCAACTGGTCTTTGGAACAGCCCTTTGATTAGCTGTATGCGTTATCCCCCTTGTATAAAGGAATAAGCTGAGGGTCAGAGAGGTCAGTTCACACGCAGGTCCCACGGCTGGAAGCCCCTTGTTTTCTGACTCCAAATATCTTTCTAGCTCATGAAGGCAAATGAGGGGGGCCTCGTATTCTTTCCTCCACCTCCCTGCCTTCTGCCCCTGTCACCACACACACATTGGTCTGTCCTTGCCTCTTTGCCCCTTGATGTCATTTATGCAACATCTTTCGAGTACCTACTGTGTGCTAGGGCCACTAGGCTGAAAGCAGTTCCAGGGCAGGGACTGATTTTTTTTTTTTTTCCCTGAAATGGAGTTTCACTCCAGCCAAGCCTGGACTGCAGTGGTGCAATCTCGGCTCACTGCAACCCCCACCTCCTGGGTTCAGGCGATTCTCCTGCCTCAGCCTCCTGAGTAGCTGGGATTACAGGCTCCCGCAACCACGCCCAGCTAGTTTTTGTATTTTTAGTAGAGACAGGGTTCACTGTGTTGGCCAGGCTGGTCTCGAACTCCTGACCTCATAATCTGCATGCCTTGGGCTCCAAAAGTGCTGGGATTACAAGCAAGAGCCACCATGCCTGGCCGATTTTTTTGGTTTTTAGACGGAGTCTCACTGTCGCTAGGCTGGAGTGCAGTGCTGCAATCTCCGTTCACTGCAACCTCCGCATCCCGGCTCAAGCTGTTCTTCTGCCTCAGCCTCCTGAGTAGCTGGGACTACAGGTGCCCGCCACCACACTCAGCTAATTTTCATGTTTTTAGTAGAGACGGGGTTTCACCATGTTGGCCAGAATGGTACTATCTATCTCTTGACTTCATGATCTGCCTCCCAAAGTGCTGGGATTACAGGCCTGAGCCACTGTGCTGGCCTGGGACTGATTTTCATTCAGTGGTCACTGGCCTTCCTGCTGTGTGCCAAACTCTCTGTGCTTGGTCTGGGGTGGGGGATCCGGCAGAAGACATCATTAGAACTGAGGAGGTACCTGTGGACAAATGGAATGGAAGTGAAGGAAGGCGCCCCCCACAATGCGCACACACACCCGCACGTGTACACACACACACACACACACACGAGGCTGGTTCAGAGGGAGCAGAGGCCTTTATTGGGGGCCATGGGCTAGCTGGTTTCAGTCAAAGGCCACACACTTGATCTTGAAGTCACCGTCAGCTGCCATGTAGTTGATGGCCTCCAGGCTGAGGCGGTTGGGGAACTTGAATTCGTATCCATCTGGCAGCTTGATGGTCAGGTCTGCCTGGTCGAAGCTGATACACACCTGGGGGTGGGGGAGGGGAGGGGCCGGATTTTTCCAGAACCTGTTCCTCATGCGGCCCTGATACCTTGTGGCTGAGCCTGAGGAGGTGCATTTTTAATAATTTTACTCTAATCCCATGACAGATTTTTTTCTTTTTATTTTTTGAGACGGAGGAGTCTGTCACCCAGGCTGGAGTGCAGTGGCACTGTCTTGGCTCACTGCAACCTCTGCCTCCCGGGTTCAGGCGATTCTCCCACCCCAGCCTCCCACGTAGTTGGCATTACAGGCATGCGCCATCACGCCCAGCTAATTTTGTATTTTTAGTAGAGACAAGGTTTCTCCATGTTGGTCAGGCTGGTCTCGAACTCCTGACCCCAAATGATCTGCCTGTCTCAGCCTCCCAGAGTGCTGGGATTACAGGCGTGAGCCGCCGGGCCTGGCCCCTCCTGTTTTATTCTAACTAACCACTTAGGTTCAAAGAGGGGCTGACACTGGCCATCACACAGGAAGGGAGAGGAGGGGAAAGAGAGCCGGTAGGGCCAAGGTCTCCAGTCACTAACCCAGCCCCGCCCCCGCTCACCCAGCCCCGGTCCCTGGTCCCTGGTCTGCAGCCCACCTCTGCGATGCTCCCGGGCTGGAAGGGAAAGGCAGTCTCCCGCTGCTCAGCCCCCCAGGCGCCGCCGTCCTTGCTGTTGCACACGATGGTGTTGGTGTCCCCGTGGGCGTTGAAGCGAGGGTTGAAGTGTAGGCACAAGTTGTTGCTGTCTTTGCCCAGGTTCAGCACGAAGCTGGGGGGTAACGGGCGGGCTTGAGGCCACCTCGGCCAACTCCAGCCCCACCCACTGACTAGTCTGTCACTCAGTACCCCACGAATGCACCTTGCTGGAAGAACTCACAAACAGAGACAAGAAACCCGGATTGTAGCTCTGGCCCTGCCACCTGCTTCTGGTGTGAGCTTGATCTAGTCCCTTCTCCTCTTCCCCAGTTTCCTCATCTGTACAACAGGGGCTGCACAGGAAGGCTCCCAGGGCTCCTGCTGTGCCGAGGGCCCAAGATTCTCGTAGTCATTAGCATCCTACACTTTTTGGTCAAGGTCAGAGACTACGTCCAGACGGTGACCTCTGGGAGGTTAAGTGTCCTGTCTCTACATCTCTGTATTCCTGGTGCCCAGCACAACTGAGGCACATAGGAGATGCTTAGTAATTATGGGGCTAAGGAACAATACATTTGTTGAGTGGTGATAATCGCAATCCCTGCCTCTGAGGTTTGGCTGAAATGAAATTAGCACACAAGTGTACCGCTCTTAACAGTATCAGCTGATCCTCAGCCTCCTCATCGCCACTGCTCTATTCACTTCCTACACACAGCCACCTTCCCCTTGACTGTCTTTCTTCCTTTTTTTCTTTTTCTGAGACGGAGTCTTGCTCTGTTGCTCAGACTGGAGTGCAGTGGCCTGGTCTCAGCTTACTGCAACCTCCGCCTCCTGGGTTCAAGTGATTCTTCTGCCTCAGACTACCAAGTAGCTGGGACTACAGGCACTCGCCACCATGCCCGGCTAATTTTTGTATTTTTAGTAGAGATGGGGTTTCATCATTTTGGCCGGGCTGGTCTCGATCTGCTGACCTCGTGATCTGCCCTCACTGGCCTCCCAAAGTGCTGGGATTACAGGCGTGAGCCACCGCACCGGCCAACCCCGCTGTTTTTCTAACAAACTGAGGCTAGGTGAGGTTGGTTGACTGGTCCAAGGTCACATAACTGCTGAGAAAATAAGGTAGTCGGCCGAAAGAACGAGGAGTGAAGGAAGGACCGAAGGACAGAGCGAGTGAATGAACGAGCAGACGCAAGGAGGGACTCAGAGGGAAGCCTCACTCCTCTCCCCGCCCTCCCCAGCAGGTCCCGCTCAACCCGTAAAGGGGTGGGGGCGGGGGAGCCAAGGTATTATAGATGACGAGGCCACAGCTGGTTTAGTTTAAGAGGGTACAGCAGGGAGGGAGCGGGGGAGGGGGCGGCATGGTGGGGGCGCCCAGACCCTGCGGGGGAAGTGAGTCACCCAGAAAACGCGGCATCCGCGGCTGGAAGTTAACCCACTCCCCGCCAGGGAGGAGACGTGGGCTTGGCCGGCCACACCCTCCCGGCTGGACCCAGCTCCCCTCCCTGCCGCCCACCACCCCACCTTCACCTCTCACCTCTTGGCGTCAGGGGCCACCTCGCCCCGCACTCGGAGGCACTCCCCAGGTTTCAGATTCAGGTTGCTGGCCTCAAGACCCTGCACAAACAAGCCCCCGCCCAGCCGGGTTAGAGGACAAGGCCTCCACGGCCACGCAGTATCTAGGGGTGGGAGTGGGGTTGTTCCCGCCCTGCATCCTCGGACCAAGCCAAGGGGCAGCCTGGGAACGGGATCCAGCTGTGATTTCTAGCCTCTGACTCTCTACGTGGTCCTGGGAAAGTCCCTATTCCCAACGGGGTCGGCTTGAATCTGTAACGTGAACCAGGTTCTAGAAGCCAGGCTCAAGGAGATTTTGCAGATTGCCTTGGGGATTTTGGACTCAGAGTGGCTTGGGAGGTGGGGTGCTCTGTCCCATCGCAGATGAAGGGGATCAGGCTGGGGAGGGGCCGACACTTGCCCACGGTCACACTGAATGGAGGGGGCTGCCCCTCTGCTGGAGAGGAAGTGGCCAGGGGCGACCCCACTATTCTCCTTTAAGCCCCTCTCTGCGAAGAGGCCCAGAGGCTAGGGAGGAGACCCTGAAGAACGTGGCCCCGCTGCATTAGGGAGGATAGCCTGTGGGCTGGCTCAGGGTTAACAAGATTGAGCAAGCTGCTTGGCACTGCTGCTCCCTGGCACCCTGAAAGGGTGGGCAAGAGTTAACTGGTGTGAGTGGTTCCTTCTGCCAGAAACTTGAACCCTTTCCCTGAGGCCCCAGTAAGAATCTCACCTCCTTGCCACCCCAACCTCCCAGCTCGGGGGTGGTGGTAGGGAATTTCCCTGCCCATCCCCCCACCAACCTGGACACACCACCCTCCACCCCCGACCTAGGAAGGCCCATCCTGGGCAGCCTGTCTCGGGTCCTGGCGACTTTTCAGCGTTCTCTGGAGCAGAGAGTGACTCTCTACCCTGGCCTTGTGCCTGGGACAGCTGCAAGGGGGAGGGGGCAGGAGGCTCTCTGGGGTGGAGGAGGGGGAAAGGGATAGTGGCCTCGGTGTCCCCCAGTTGGCCACACCCTTCTCACTCTCACTTCTCAGAGAGCTGCCTAATGTCAACCCTGGACCAAAATAACTGTGCTTTCAGACCCTGGGGGAATCCAGACAATTCTTTTTTTTTTTTTTCTATTATTATTATTATTTTTTTAAAGATGGGGTTTCACCATGAAGGCCAGGCTGGTCTTGAACTCCTGACCTCAGGTGATCCACCCATGTCGGCCTCCCAAAGTGCTAGGATTACAGGCGTGAGCCACCGCGCCCGGCTATCCATACAATTCTTAACGCAGAGAAGGCCTTGAGGGACCATGGCGCCCACCTCCATTTTACAGATGTGGCCACTGAGGTCCAGAAAAGAGAAGCCACTGGTTCCAGGACACACAGCTGGGACTCGAATCCAGCTCCGGATCTGCCCAACTCTCCTCCAGCCATGAGCCCCTGCCCTATCCCCTGGACCTTGGGGTGGGGTCCCAACACTCACACAAGCCATGATTGAGGGCAGGAGGATGTTCGCGGGACAGGCGCACCAGCTCCCTGAAGGCTCCACCCGAGAGAGATGGGTCCCGGGCGCTCCCATCCTTTTAACGGGACCTGACCTGATGAGCCCCGCCCCCCTGGAAGTTCAGCCAATTGTAAGTCAGGACAGGGCTGGGGGCCACCGGGGGCGGAGTCTATGGAATTTTGAAGCCAGTCCTGGAGCAGAGGTGACCAATCAGAGTGGCGAGCTCCCACCCCCGCCGGAGTCCAAGCTCCACCTCCTATTCTCCTTCATCCTTCTCCACCTCTACCCCCCACCCCCACCAAAATTGTGCTGTGGCAGAGATTGGGGGGAGCCAGTGGAAAATAGTTTGATGATGAGCTAGGCCCATGAGTTGGCGGGAAGGGGCCTGTGGCCAGAAGGCTGGGCTCAGGGGGTGCCCAGAGATGATGGCTGAGGAGGTGCAGAGTCCTTCAGGGAATCAGAGCTGGGGGAGGCCAGGCCGCACCCAGGCAGGCCCAGGGCGTGGCTCCTGCTGCGCGCGTGTCTGCAGAGGGCCACTGACTTAACCACAGGCCCCGGCCCCACCCGGACCTTCCCCGGAAGTAAGGACTGCGGCTGCTGCAGCGCTCGGCTCGCTCTCTTTGCTAAGGCTAAAGAAAGGCTGGGCTGCGCGCCAAGCCTGAGGCTGCAGGGCTGGGTTCCCTTCAGGGGCCTGCAGGGGATAGCCAAAGCGCCCTGGCCTGACAGCTTCTGGCCTGAGAGTGTCAAGCCTGGGAGATGGTCCAGGGTGGTCCAGGCCAGGAGGGGGTAGGGTCCTAGCTCTGTGCACCCTGTCCTCTGTCTTTTTTATTTTTATTTATTTATATATTTATTTTTGAGATGAAGTCTCACTCTGTCACCCAGGCTGGAGTGCAGTGGTGTGATCTCTACTCATTGCAACTTCTGTCTCCCAGGTTCAAGCGATTTTCCTGCCTCCCAAGTAGCTGAGACTATAGGCCCCCAACCATCATGCCCGGCTAATTTTTGTATTTTTAGTAGAGATGGGGTTTCACCATGTTGGCCAGGCTGTCTCGAACTCCTGAACTCAGGTGATCTATCCTCCCTTGGCCTCCCAAAGTTCTGGGACTACAGATGTGAGTCACTGCGCCCCACCCCTGTCCTCTATCTTCACATCTCTCCTCTCAGGCCCCGCACAGCCCTCCTTTCCTCATCTGTTCAGCAGGTATCACGAGCACCTACTATGTGCCTGGCCCTGGGCTCTCAGGATTCAAAGCTGAACGCCTTCCAGTCTCCACTTCAAAGAGCTCATGGTTGGGGTGGAATCTGACCACGACCACGTTAAGAAGTAGATGATGATGACTCTAAGGGAAGCCATGAGAAAGCCCTGTGGTGGGCTGGCAACTAGTTGTATGAGTGAATGAGGTGGGTCGTGAAGGGTAGGCAGAGAATCACCTGGCTTTCCAGCATGGGCGGAAGCTCTGGAATGAGAAGGCCAGGGCTGGGGAATCATGTTCAGGGCACGTGGGGGAAAGATGGGGATGAGGCTAGGAAGCCCACAGGACCTGGATCATGGCGGGTCTCACTGGGCCGAGCATAGAGCTTGGACATTGTTGTATGGGAGGAGGCTGGGGAGCCAGGGTTAGAGGTAGGGTGAGTACTGAGGCCAGATTTGGGCTGTAGAGAAGATCACTGTGGCAGAGAATTGAGGGTGGGGTGCTCACCTTTCACTCAGGAACATGGTGGGGGAAGGGGTGAGGGGCGTGCTGGGTGTTTGTAACAGGGACCTCCTTCTCCACCCGTTCATCCCCACTGCTGGCACCAAAGAGGGAGGAAGATTCAGACCAGGAGTGACTCACATTTGGAGGCCAGGCCAGCAAACCCACCCTGCCTGACCCTGCCTTCCCACCCCCAGGGGCACCTTCCTCCAGATGCTCAAAGCCCACCCTGGTACAGGACGAGAGGGGAGTGTGTAGGGCCCCAAGGTGGACCCAGAGAGGGGATGGGGTGTACCCCCGTGAGTGCCTTGCCCTTCCTTCCAGACCAAGTGGCTGCTTGGAAATCAACCACAGCAGCTTCATTTTTCCCTCCAGGCCTCCTCAAAACCTCAACCATAGGAAGGTCTGGGTGGGGCTCGGCCCAACTTCACGGCCCCTCCCCCGTGCCTCCCCTCTCTGCCACATGAAGGAATGCAGCATCTCAGGCAGAGTCCTAGAACGAGGGCCAGAGGCACTTCAGGTGTGGTCCTCGCAGGGTTGGGGGCAGGTGGGTGTGGCTGCTTTTCCAGCCCAGTAGTTGGGTTCTTGTGGCCTCAGGAGCTGCTCCTACAGCCTCCTCCACCCTGGAAAATGAGCCCAGCACTGGGGAGTGTTTGCTGTTGGACGGAGGGACTGTTCACTTCTCTACAGGGTCTGACACGAGTAAGGCTGGCAGGGAGGCAGTGTGGCATGGTGAAGAGGTCCCCAGAGAGGCCTATTTGGGAGTCTAGAGACTCGGGTGCCGGCCCCACTTGCTATATCCCCCGAGAGCCTCCTGGCAAGCTGCTTCTCCCCACCTGCCTCTGTTAAAACCCACGCTCTGAATGAAGAGACCCCCAAACAGGCTTTGTGTGAGCAACATGGCTATTCACCAGGGTGCGGGCGGGCTGGGGCCGAAAATGGAGTCAGCAAAGGGAGGTGGGATACGAGTTGGTTTTATAGGTTTGGGGTGAACAGTGGAAAGTTACAGAATTTACAGTTGGCAGTTTCTTGCCAGCTGGGAGGGGGTCGTAGGGGGTGGAGTCACGAGGTTGGCCAAGGTCAGTTACAAGGTCCAACGGCCTTGTCAGCCGAGGCCAAAATAAGAAACAACAGAAGGTCTGAGGTTAGTTAGGTGCCACAGGGGTTGATCCTTCTTCCTGCCAGCTACTTCAGGTTTTCTAATTCCGGAAGGCCCTCCAGAGGTGTACGAGTGATTCACGGGGTCGCCAGACCTTACAGCCTCAGTCTCCCTAACTGTAAACCTGAATGAGGTGAATACAGGCTGGAACTGAGGTCTGTTGTGCTAAACAGATGATTCATTGCTTCATGGAGGCTCAATGTTTTCACTTCTTTCTTATCTCTTTTCCCAGGCTCTTACCTTCCCCGGGTCTTTGCAGCACCTCTGGGAGGTCCACCTGTCACCCCCCGACTGGTCCTCAACGGTCTCCTCTTGCCTAGGTTGGGGCAAGAAGTCTCTCCAGATTCCAGTGTCCTCTGTGACAGGAGCTGTGGTTTTCCTGGCTAGGAGGGAAGGCAGGGACACAGGGGCATCGTGGGCCTCTTCCCCCAAGTGCTCAGGGCCTCCTAGTGGCAGCGCCCACTGATCTTGCCAGGCCCTGTGCCCGGCACCTTTCTTTCATTATCTCCCCTCTCCCCTACTTTGTGTCTACCAACTTGGTTGAATTTCTGCAGAGTGAAGTGAAGCTGCAGTTAGAATCAGGAGAAGAGCTGGGCACAGTGGCTCACACCTGTAATCCAGCACTTTAGGAGGCTGAGCTGGGTGGATCAGGAGTTCGAGGTCAGGACTTCGAGACCAGCCTGGCCAACATGGCGAAACCCCGTCTCTACTAAAAATACAAAAATTAGCCAAGCGCAGTGGTGGATGCCTGTAATCCCAGCTACTTGGGAGGCTGAGGCAGGGAGAATTTCTTGAACACAGGAGTTGAAGGTTGCAGTGAGCCAAGATCGAGTCACTGCACTCCAGCCTGGGCGACACAGCAAGACTCCATCTCAAAAAAAAAAAAAGAGATGAGAAGTGAGTTCTGATTGGGGGACTGAATGGCTGCGACTGTCCCTGAGGTCCTGGGCTGCTCTGAACCTGTTTCTAGGCCTGATAGGTGGGAATAAGGCTGCTGCTTGGAAGATTACAGGAGTGATGTGTAAGGAGGGGCTCGATGTTAGTGCTCCCTCCTATGCCCCCCAAGGCCAAGGCCACCACTCCAGGGATTCTCCTCCCCACTAACTGTCCTGAAATAGAGACAGTCAGGTCTCTGGAATTCCTTTGTCCTAGGCTGGATCTTGGCTGCTGAATGAGAAATGGGCTCCGCTTGGTCCAGACAGGTCATCCAGGCCAGCGCGGCCCTTCCCACCCTGCCAGGAACATGGGGCAGAGGTGGGGAAAGGGAGGCCACATCTCCTTCAGCCGGTGGTGTTGAGGAGGGCGGCCCACAGACACCCCACCCACACCCACAGCCAACCTGGCTGCTCCAGCCAGGGAAGGTAGGGGAGGTCAGAGCCAGCTCCCGAGTCCTAGAAGTCAGAGCGGGGAGGAACCCTGAGACACCGTGCCTGACCTGCTCCCCATTTAATGATGCAGTGTAATGTCAGGGAAACCACCCGGGGGGGGCCACTGGACCAAGGTCACAAAGGGAGCTAAGGCCGACCCGCTTTCATCTGCTGAGCCAACGATACCTGGGCTTGAAAAGCTGTATTTTCCCTCCTGCTCTATGAAGGTGGGGGATGTCCCTGGCAACCTGGGCCGTTTTCCAGCCAGGTGGCACCGCAGCCCGCACCCTCAAGCCTGCTCATCCATTCTCGCCTCCCAGCCTTTGTCCGGACAGCCCCCTCCACACTTGCCTTTGGCCTTCCCACTCCTTGTCTGTACTTCTTCTGACTGCAGGCCCCAGCCCTCCGTTAGGGCTCCGCCCTCCTCTCAGGTAAGGTCTAGGTGGGGGCCAGTCCCTTTCATTAGCCCCCCCACCAGGCTCGGGCCTGAACTGTTACAATGTTTTTGGCATCTTATTTTATATTTATTTTATACTTATTTTAGGATTTTACTTTTGATACAGGGTCTCGCTCTGTCACCCAGGCTGGAGTGGATTATCGCTCACTGTAACCTCAAACTCCTGGGCTCAAGCAATCCTCCTGACTCAGCCTCCTGAGGAGTTTGGTCTGACTACAGGTGGGCACCACTGCGCTTGACTAATTTATTTGTACTTTCAGACACACAGGGTCTTGTTATGCTGCTCAGGCTGATCTTGAACTCCTGGCCTCAAGCAATCCTCCCATCTTGGCTTCCCAAAGTGCTGGGATTACAGGTGTGAAGCACTGTGCTCAGTGAGCATTTTATTTTGAAAATAATTATAGACACACAGGAAACTTAAAAGTTTAGAAAATATCTGGGCAGGCGTGGTGGCTCAGGCCTGTAATCCCAGCACTTTTGAGAGGCCAAGGTGGGTGGATGATCACTCCAGGCCGCGAGTTCGTCTTGAACTGGTGGATACAACTGTAATCCCAGCTACTCGGAGGCTGAGGTGGGAGAATCGCTTGAACCTGGGAGGCGAAGGTTGCAGTGAGCTGAGACGTGAGCTGAGAAGTGAGCTGAGATGGCACTACTGCACTCCAGGTGGGGTGACAGAGTGAGACTGTCTCAAAAAAAAAAAGAAAAGCTTAGAAAATATTTGAAACCTGAAGAAAAAAATATATTGGCTCCAAAATACTAAAACTGTAAAGCTGAAATTAATAAATGTTTATTCTACTCAAACAATATGAACTTGGGTAGTCAGAACATTTTCTTTTTTTTTTTTTTTTTTTTTTTGAGACAGAGTTTCACTCATGTTACCCAGGCTGGAGTGCAATGGCGCGATCTCAGCTCACCGCAATCTCCGCCTTCTGGGTTCAGGCAATTCTCCTGCCTCAGCCTCCTGAGTAGCTGGGATTACAGGCACGCGCCACCATGCCCAGCTAATTTTTTGTATTTTTAGTAGAGACAGGGTTTCACCATGTTGACCAGAATGGTCTCGATCTCTTGACCTCGTGATCCACCCGCCTCGGCCTCCCAAAGTGCTGGGATTACAGGCTTGAGCCACCGCACCTGGCCAAGAAAATTTTCATTACACCTGAAAACAACTTAGTAGCTTGGGTCTTCTTACTTCCAAAGCCTTTTCAAGTATTCCTAGAGGTTAGTCCATCCTAAATTAGGTCCTGGTTGCCAAATAACCCCTCAAAGAAAAGTATAAATATACTTCAAAAAATATATATTTAATGTGAGATGAGTGGATTTTAATGTTATCAGGAAGGTTTTGGCTGCAAGTAACTGAAGTGTCAATAGAAATTGCTTTAACATTAAGGAAAACCTTTTCATAAGAAGTCTAGGCCAGTCACAGTAGCTCATCCTGTAATCCCAGCACTTTGGGAGACCAAGGCGGGTGGATCACGAGGTCAAGAGATCGAGGCCATCCTGGTCAACATGGTGAAACCCCGTCTCTACTAAAAATACAAAACATTAGCTGGGCATGGTGGCACATGCCTGTAATCCCAGCTACTCAGGAGGTTGAAGCAGGAGAATTGCCTGAACCCAGGAGGCAGAGGCTGCGGTGAGCCGAGATCGCGCCATTGCACTCCAGCCTGGGTAACAAGAGTGAAACTCCATCTCAAAAATAAATAAATAAAAAAAAATAAAAACAAAACAAAAACAACAACAAAGAAGTCTGCAGTTGAGAGTTCCTATAGCAGACTTTATATAGCGGTAGCTCAATAAAATCATCAAACACCTAGGTTCTTGTGTAATCCCGGACTGTGGCTGTATAGGCTGTCCTTGCGCTTAGGTTATACAAGCTGAAGACTTTTCGGTGAACCGTGTTAGCATCTGTAACATACTCTCAAATGGTTCCGTAAACAAGCTGGGCACAGTGACTCATGCCTGTAATCTCAGTGCTTCGGAAGGCTAAGGCAGGAAGACTGCTGAGCCCAGGAGACGTGGGCTGTAGTGCACTAAGATTGGCATCAATATGATGACCTCTTGGGGGAGGCAACCACTAGGTTGCCTAAGGAGGAGCGAGCTGGCCCAGGTCGGAAACAGAGCATGTCAAAACTCCCACAATGATCAGTAGTGGGATCCTTCCTGTGAACAGCCAGTGAGCTCCAGCCTGGGCAACATAGTGAGACCCTGTCTCTAAAAGAAAACAAAACAAAACAAAAAGGAGACCCCGTCTCAACAACAAAAAAATGTTTTAAAAATTAGCTGGGTGTGAGGCTGGGCGC